AATATTTAATAGTATTATTATTTTAAAATTTATTTTATTGTGTTGTTCATTTTTGTTTTCCTTTCTTATTTATTTTTTTTATTTACTTCCTTGTATCACTTTTTTCTTCTATTCGATTTTGTATTTGTCCACATTTTATTTCTTTGCTTTGTTTTTTTTTGTTATATCACGCGTTTGATGCATCAACACACTGAGTCGTGAAAATACCATAGTAAAACAAGCATTCAACGATGTTTTTCATCGTGAACGAACGAGCTAGCTAGTTCTCCTGCTTGCTAACGTCCCGGGAGACTTGTTAAAGGGAAATACGACGTTGTAGGACGATCCTACCACAGTACAATCACCTATTACTATGATGATGATGATGATGAGCTGCTAGCTGTGAATTCGGCAAGTTTCAATACGAACCTTTCGAAGGGTCTCCGATCGATCGTTTATCCTATTTTAATTAGCAACATCATTTTTGTCGGTTCGTTAAGTTAAACGTTAATTTAAGTTGAATTTAATAAGAAAGAAAAAAGAACAAAAATAAAGTATTAAACATTTAGATTACATTAAAAACATTGTATGTATATTTGATCTTAAGTATATTTCATCATTCTTCTAAATATTATTATATGAATTCCCTATATATATATATATATATGGGGTGTGGGATGGGGGAGGAGTAATAATTTTTTTACTGAGTATTATGAATGAATAGTTATATTCAAGATTTAATAAAAAAAAAAAAAAAGAATCAAATAGAAAGAAAAGCTTTGATCCTTTGTACGTGTATGTATGTACTTTTATTAATGTGTGTTACGTATATGTACCTATACACACACATATAGGTAGTAGTAGCAGTAGCAGCAGCACACAGCAACCATGGTGCGTTGTGCTAGCCGTTCAGAAAGCACCATATATACCACCGGATAAGTAATTTAATCTCGTGCTTCTGTTCGTCCACGCGTACCGTTTCCCTTCTCTCTAGTATCGAAGATTCGATGTGGTGGAAGTCCTATCGACTCATGTCAGTAATAGTAGTAGTAATAGTAGTAGTAGTAGTAGTAGTAGTAGTCTACGTGCTTTCGCGAATCTCAAATATTCACGCAAAGTTCGACACCATTTAAAAAGCAAGCAAGCAAGCAGACATTTTTTGTTTTTATTTCATTTTATTCCTTTGATATATCAAATCGTATTCCTCCCCCTCCCCCTCCACCTCCTCCTCCTCCTCCTCTTGTTCGTTCACTTGCCAAATTTTTACCACCTAAAATTTGTTTAATCTCGTAAGATATACTTTTCTTATTGATATGAATTATATTCTTTGTAAATATTTCACGAAGAGGAAGAGAAGAAATTTATTGTGTTTAAAAATAAATATACACACACACACATTTACGTGTTGAAAGAACAAAACGCAGATAGGGATGCGTTGTGAGTGAGTGAGTGGATGAATGAATGCATCGATGATTCAAGAATGCATTCCTTCCGTTCGTAAGAAAATTCAATATAACTTTTGTAAAAACGACGATCGTATTCGAAAGGGTGGCATTCGCGTAACGTTCTTCTATATATCATATTTCTATTCGTGTCCCTTTCCTAAACATATAAATCCATATTTTGGAATGTATAAACAGGAAAGAACATATCTAGCTACTACCTTTCTGTATATTTCTCGGATCGGTGAATTGTATACGACGATTCTCAAGATAAAATGCATACGTATGTGCACGTGTGTATGAAAGAAAAATGAAATATTTAGATATCCAGATAAATAGATAGATAGATAGATAAAAATATGAGTAGGCATCAAAATAGGATGTAAAAGAGAATGGCGAATAAACTGATAGAAATAGAAGTGAAGAAGAAGAAGAAGAAGCTCAAAGGGGTGTCGAGGAGAAAGGGGGAGGATGGGTGAGGGGGTTGGTTGGAAAGACGCGCGCGAACAGCTTTGAGGGTTGATCGGGGGGTTTGGGGTTGGTAGTTTTCAAGGAAGGGCTGGAATTTCTTCGATCTTCCATCTCACATTCTTTATCTCTGTTGCACCCTTTGGGGCTAGTGTTGAACCCGTCGTTTGATACACACAACCACCCACACATACATATACACACACAAATATATAGATCGAATAGGTTTGTGTAGGGAATACTACTACTGGAGGGATGATTCGCGACGCGAGATCGTAACCATGGCAACGTTCCAAGTTAACCACGCCCACTTATTTGATTGGGACCAACCCCGAGCTACTACGAGCGTCGCGACGCCAACCAATACGATTTGGCGTCGTTAGAAGAGAGGCAGGCAGGTTGGGGGTTAGTTTCCTCCATGCGAAAAGGGTGCCAGCACCACCACCACCAAAATCTGATTTTCCTTCCTTCCTTCATTCGTTCGTTCCTTCCTTCCTATGGGGGTTTGCACCACCAGCAGCGAGATATCGGGCTTCGAATCTCCTTGGATATCACGCACCGATACTCCCTAAACGACGACAAACGACTAACCCTGTTCTATCTCAACAAACATTTCCTCTCTTATACGTGGCAAATAATATACATTTATTGTTTTTTTTTTCATCATTTCGTTATATAACGGAGTGGTGGGTTGTTGTTGTTGTTGTTGTTCTTGTCGTTGTCATCATTTGGTTAATAATCATCGTGTTTCGTATTAATTAATTGATTTATAAGTTATTACTTGTGAATCAGATAGATACGCGTGGGGGATTAATTATCAACGCAAACGTTTAACAGTTATTGTTCATTGTTTGTGAGATTGTTATGTTAATCCTGCAATTCTTCTTTACTTGTTTAAGTATTATTCAAGTTGAGATTATTCGACGGATTTATTCAGTTTTATTTATATTCTTATTCGAGTGTAATTCTTCTTCTTCTTCTACTTCTTCATCGTTCTTTTTTCGTGTGTCATAAGTTTGATTGTTCGTTAAATTTTGTTTGTTTGTGCAACGATACGAAAAGATGATGATCATCAAAATCGTTTCGTTTAATCTTTGAGAGAGACATTGATTAACATTTTTTTTTGGAATTATTCAACGAATCGAACGTGAAAATTATTTCAAATAATTCGGAACGATTATTTAATTATTTTTCGTTCGATCTCAAGTGAGATACGTGTTTGGTTTTGGTTTTTTTCTTTTTACGAAAACTGCTCTTACGAAAAAAGTGATCGAAGATAAACAACAGTGTCCTAGTGTGTTTTAAAAGTGATTGAAAACAAGTATCAAAAAAACATGGGAACATCAGTGTAACATACCATTCGAGTATTATTACCGAAAAAAGTGTAATCTGTAAATACACGGGATTGATACCACGATCACAAAGTTTCCAAGACTAGTTCAGGATTTATACATTTGGACAAAAAAAAATTAAATTTGATCAAAATGCAATCAACCTGTCAACAACAAGCCCAAGCTCATCCTGGACAAAACGGTACCTCCGCAAGTCGGACATCATTCCTCATCGAGGATATTCTCAGTCGTGGTAGCGTACCACCCCATACACATCATCAACTTCATCATCAACATCTTAGCTCGGCTCATGGTCAACAACATCAACAGTATCAGCAATTCGCCAGTTTGTTGCCCGGTTATCCGTCGGCGCCACCCACTGCTGCATTTTTTTTGGGACCACTTTTTGGTAGCGCTGGTATGGGGGTTGGTGTGGTACCTGGTGTCGGTGAACTTGCTGCCTTAAAACATTGTCGACGAAGAAAAGCACGAACGGTAAATAAAATAATAATTATCAAATGTTCGATTCAATATTCTCTTTACTGTTTCACAAATTTCAAACACATAACATTATTAATCTTCATTGATAATAATATGAACATTCATTTGAAATTTTGATTAGGTGTTTAGCGATCAACAATTAGCTGGTTTGGAAGCCAGGTTCGAAGTTCAGAGGTATTTAAGTACACCGGAAAGAGTTGAATTAGCAGCAGCGTTGCATTTATCGGAGACCCAAGTTAAGACATGGTTTCAAAACCGAAGAATGAAACATAAGAAACAATTACGAAAGTTGAACACCAATTCCAATAGTAATGGGATACAATCGTCCGGACAACAGTGTGGCACGCAATCCGGTTCGGTGACATCGCCAGCTGGTGAGTACACTTTAACAATTGATTTTCATTTGATCTTACAATTAGATCAAAATTATTACACGTTATATTAATCGAAAAGTTTTTTCATTTTTATTCTTGTTGTTGTTAAAAAAACAAAAACAAAAAACCAAACCCTACAAAATGTGATCGCAATATGGCTGAGTTTAAAATATTTCAGAAAATGTTCTTTAAATATCTATCTTAAATGCTATAAAAAGTTTGAATAAGGATTCCATTTGTTATATAGAACAAAAAATTGTTGAAAATATGCTATTGTTTATCCATGTAACCCCTTAATGTAATCTCGATTGGAATCGAAGAATAATCGAAGTATACTAACATTGATTCTATTTGATTTTCGTATATGTATTCAGGGAGTTGTGGGTTCGTGCTACGATTACGATCGATTTGCCATTTACTCGGTCAGCTTTAGAATTTTAGCGCGTGTTAAATATTCCCGTAGCCATCGTAATAATGGACCAGTATGACGATATAATGCAACCAAAATTCCACTGACAATAAATTACGCAAGTTCGGCTTAACTAACCAGACCATAACCCACCCAGGTGGTGGTGGTGGTGGTGGTGGTGCTGGGGAGGGGGGAGGGGCTTGGAGGAACTGTAATCATTAACTAGCGGTACCTAGATAATGATCGCCATCTATAGTAGAATTTCCCGCAATCGTGTATGGGCTCTAACAATGTTACTACATCCAAATTATATTATACAAGAGGAAAATTCAACGATGAAGTTACACGCGGGTGATGGTGGTGGTGGTGGTGGTGGTGATAGTAGGAACACGATGATAACCCGCGAACAAGATAGTTGGAGAAAAAGAGGGGGGTTTACGGTGTGGGGGGCAAATGGGGGGTGGGAGATGGAAGGAAGGAAGGAAGGAAGGTAGGAAGGGGGGAACGAAATGTTGGTTAAACTGATATATCAATTTGGGAATATAGCGTTGAAGTATTTCCTCGTTAGTAAGTAGAATGTTTGTGCGAAACCGTTACGCTCGTTTTGACCTTTAATGAATTAATATCGGTTTTGTTAAAAACTCTACTGAGAGAGAAAGAGAGAGAGAGATAAAGACATTTGCATTCCGTAAGAGATTAGAAAAAAAAAAAATAACAAATTCTAAATAGATCTTAAAGAATAATCACAAATGTTGGTCCTAATTTTTACGGTATATTCGCTGACACGTATGAACAATTAATTCGATTGTACGATCACAAAAATAAGAGTTACATCGTTCGCGGTTAATTAATAATAATAATAATATAATAATTTCAATTGCCAATCTAAAACAAATTCCAAATAAAATCTTAAAGAATAATCGCAAATGTTGGTCCTAGTTTTTACGATATATTCTCTCACACGTATGAACAATTTATTCGATTATGCACGATCACAAAAATAAGTAAGAGTTATACAACGTTCACGGTTTAATAATAATAATAATAATAATCATTTCAATTGCCGATCTAAAACAAATTCCAAATAAGATCTTTAAGAATGTTCACAAATGTTGGTCCTAATTTTTACGATATATTCTCTGACACGCATGAACAATTAATTCGATTATGTACCATCACAAAAATAAGAGTTACATCGTTCGCGGTTTAAATAATAATAATAATCATTTCAATTGACGATTGTGATCGGTCAATTTTTTTTTTTTCCCCGTATCAGTTGCCGAGGCTAGCCTAATGAAATTGGGTCAGGTGTATGCTGGTACACAACTCAGACGGCGGCCGGTAGGTTCTAAGTCCTCTTATCACGGTGGCGAACAATCGAGAGAATATAGGTCTGGTCGAGCACTTAGCTGATAATTGACTAATTTTCTCGAAGACCGGAATCGAGAAACGAGTAGGAGGAAAAGGGAGAATGAGTTAGTTAGTTAGTGTGTGAGTTAGTGAGTGAGAGATGGGTTTGATGGTAGAGATGATAGAGGGAAACTGGAAGAGAAGAGAAGAAGGGGGGAGGGGGAACTTCTTAAAGTATCCGGTAGCGTCTTGAAGATGTTGAAGATGAAGTGGTAGACAAGACTTGTCCTACCCCATTCCTCCCTCACTCATATACCCACTAACTCAGCCCCCCAACACATATATACCAATACAAATACATCCACGTTTCTATCCTTCTTGTTCTTCTTCTTGTTCTTACTTGGTGCCCCCTTAGCTCGCTACCAAGGAGATGCCTCCGATAACTTCGTTAGCCCTTCCTACTGAACGAGAGAAGCCATCTTGGCTAGAGGAAGACACGGAGTAACTTGAGGACTCAGAGGTTAGGACGGTGCTGATGCGGCTCTGCCTTCCGATTTTAGAATCGTGCATTGAGTGCATAAAGCCTCCTATCTCACTCTGTCATTCACTCACTTCTCTTTTAGCCCCCTCCCCTCTACAGTCTACCCTCTACCCCTACCCCCTTTTATAGCAGCGAAAAGCGACGCAGTTACCTCCCCCAATTGCTGCCACGACGACTACGCCCGAATTCAACGTTATTGCTCGGATCACGACCCATCTTCTCTTCTCTTCCTCCTCCTACTCCTCATCCTCATCCTCTTCCTCTTCCTCCCTTTTCTGTCTTCCCTCAGATTAACTCCCGTCCCGTACTCTCTTTGAAACTGTGGGATCGATCAATGATGTACTCATACATCAAACGTTCGTTGATGTTGTTATATTTAAAACGTTTCCTCTTACAGATATTTCAATACGATGATATATATGATAACTTCGATGACGATCATGAAATAAATGTCACGAATCTATATGGGAATCATGAAACATTTGTTTCTTTGCAATTATTTGTTTGATAATGAAGTTAGGTTTCATTTTGATTAAACTTTTGCATGACTTAACTTCAGTATTTGTCTTCGAATATATATATCATTAATCTTGATAATTAGAAAATACGATAATAATATTAATCGAATATTTTGTGGGATTAAATAGTAAATTTCAATTGAAATAAAATATTTACAAGTCACATATTGGTAGATTGTTGCATGAGAAAATTGAGATATAATTCGTAAGAGTGAACGGGTTTAAAATTATTAGGTCGACAACTAAGTGATTGCGGATTTTCAGTACCTGAACGATAACAAAAGGTCATCGAATAAAAAAAGTTACATTACCTAATCGAATGAAGTTATATTTTTCGGCACAAAAGAATTTGAAATATTCTTTATCACTTAGTTGCCAATCCGAATATATCCAAAATTTAGGATTAAATTAAACAATATAATAGATTTTCATAATCAAATTATTGATTTTATCGTACGACATTTTTGATTATCAACAGAAAGACCCGTGGACTTCTCATTGAGCAGCGGTGGTGTTGGTGTTGGTAATGGTGGTCGAGAATCACGAGGAAGCAGTGATGCAGCAATGGATTCCGATGATGACGAAATTGATATCCTTGGGGAAGATGAGGAACCATCACCTTCCAGGAGCGTCGGAAGTTTACACCTGCCCAAACGTAGTTCATCGACACCTTCCTTTCATCAAACGACGACGCAACATTCGCATCCCCATTCTGTTGTTACACTTTCCCATCAATCTTCGCATCAACAACAACAGCAACAACAACAACACCAGCATGCCGTTCAACAACGTCAACAGCATCGCTGAGAATTCTACGTTGATGAATTCTAACCGAGGATTAATTATTTTCAACCTGGACACACATCTATCGCTAATTCTTCCATTTCTACTTCTATTTCTACTTATTTTCAACTATCAGCTTCCTCTTCTTCTTCAACTTTTTCTTTTTCGTCTTAATTCTCGAAGAAAATTAAACAAAAACACACACACACATCATGAACTTGATAAATTTCGAGATGACGACGATGATGGTGTTGTTTTGTTACCCCTCGAGGAGGAGGGGATCATGGGGGTTTGGGGAAAAATAATATAAAAGTGAAATAATTGGTGCGAGATAATTGACGTGCTGCTATCCATCGGAATTTTTTTTTCTTACGATTATTATAATAATAATAATAATAATAATAATAGTAATAATAATAATAATAATATCTCGTCTTCGTCGTGGTTCATAACACGAAAAGGTTCAATTCTGTGCGGTGAAAAATAATGTTTTAAATATTCGGATTAAACATTTGATCATTTAAATCTACGAATGCTGCGAATCCATGAGTTTTGAGAGAAAGTTCACTTAAAACAAAAAAAAAATGATCGATCATTTAGGGATTTAATATCACACGGAATATAGAATTAAATTAAACGACAATTTATTAATAAACAAGGGGAAAAATGATTAATAAACAAACTCTAGTGAAAGATATGAGGATAAGAAAATAAATGAATGAATGAATATGAATGAACGAATGAATGTGAAATAAATAATATTAAATAAAATATTAAAAAATATCAAATTAATGAGAACAAATCAATTTGTGCCATGTCCGGAAAAGGGGAGGGATTTTTCTTCTAAAAAACAAAAAATAAAAAAGAAAGAAAATGTGTGTTCGAGAAGAAAGGGATGGGATTGTTCGTGACAAACGGGGGGAGGGGGTGTAGGGTTCTGTTTTTTTTTTTTTCAGTCGGAAGATGATTTTTCCATCGGTGGAAATTGAATGAAAACGCTGCTAAAAAAAAAAGAAAATCACTCGCCGATATCGAACTCGAGCGACACTTTTTTTTAAATTGGCAAAGTGGAAGTAACGAAAGAAAAGAAAAGAAAAGAAAGTAAAAAAAAAAAGGGAAAATAAAAAGAACAAAAAAACACACACACACACACACACACACAACAAGCTAGTCCTCCTCTCGCGTCACTTTTTATAGCGAAGTGTAAAGTTAGCCTGCGGTTATCGTTGGAATTAAAAAATGTCGTACTATGACGCCGAGCATGTGTCTCTTCCTTCATTTAATCAAATACCCAATCGTTTGACACTTTTTTAAGTCAAGTAGTATACATATATATATATAGTATTTGTTTTATGATTCTCGATACTTTAACTGCAATATAATTTGAATTATTCTAACTTCCTCCCTCCCCCCCGACCCATTCCTAACCCCAATTGACATTTCACGATGTCCCAAAGAAAAAAAGGGAACATTTAAGAAACCACACTAATTGCCTGACATTTTCTACAACGTTCGAGACATTTTCCATGGACCCCCTTTAACGATTACAAAGGAAACGTTAAATGACCGAAACGTTCACCAACCCTTCCCCCATAGCCCCTGAACCGTGGTTTCATTAGAAAAGTATCAAACTTAAAATAATAAATGATAATGTTTAAATGAATAAGACGAGAATAGTACGATGTATGTTTTAATAATCATAAAGGTAAGTTTTCATGCTCGGTGTTTTACCAGCTGGACAAAATTCGACCTCGTAACAATAATCGTTGTCGTTGAAATAAAACAGAAAAAAAAATAACAGAACGAGTGAGTTAGCGTGTCATGGTCAAAGGAACAACAGTTACTTTATTTTAAAATTTTATTGGTAATCTAATTTATAAAGGATTCTATAATGGTGATCATAATGATTCGGATTCTTCGAAACCGAAAACGAAGAAAATTCGTGCAACGTTTAAGATCAAATTGTTCGAAACAATCATATCTTTAGCATAATACCTGATGTTATCGATCAGGATTATGAAAATAATAATGACAAAATCATAGTCAAAGGAACAACAGTTACCTTCTCTCAAGATTCAATTAGTAATCTAATTTATACAAAGGATTCTATGATCATGATAGATGATTGATAAAAAGACACCACTTCTTCGAAACCGAAAACGAAGAAAATTCTTACAACATTTAAGATCAAATTATTCGAAACAATCATATCTTTAGCATAATACTATCGATTAGAAACTTATCGATCAGAATCATGAAAATAATAATGACAATCATCGATATGAGAAAATCTTGTTGCTACCTGTTGCTACTAGAGCCAACATTAGATTCGGTTAGGTGAACCTGACTAGGAAAAAGATGTGGTAGGTAGGTAGATAAGGGGGGTGGGGTTGGGTGGGGTAGGGTGTCCTGTCACGTAGTGTGGTAGTAGAGATAGGACGAGCCGTTGGTTGTAAGAAGAGGACGAGAATATAGGCGGAGCCTGTGGGATACGCCGTGCTTCCAGTTCGGCTGAATCCTAATACCCAGATAATGGGAAGTAATTGCGAGGGATCAGAGCAAGCAGAGCTACTCAGTCTCTCTCTCTCTCTCACTCTCTCACTCTCTTATTCACTCACTCACTCACTCACTCTCTCTCTTGGTTTAGGGTTCTCTGTGTGTATAGAGTAATGAAGTAAGCGAGAGAGAGAGAGAGAAGGGGTGGTTGGGGTGGTTGAGTGAGTGAGTGAGAGAGAAAAGGGGTAGTTGGGGTAGTTATATAAGAGAGAGAGAGAAGGATACTAGCACTATAGACTACTCCTTTCCACCCCTGACGTTTACCCTCGACCCTTCATCCCAATGGGCCCACGACAAACGTACCAAGTGGAGGATGATAGAACAAGGTTTGGGTAGATATAGATAGAGAGGAATGAAGAGGAACGTAATCGTATTATCGGACGAAATCACGAAGCACGTTCTCGAATACACTTTGGGACGATGATACGTCATTCTTGAGATTTTCTGCATTAGGTTCTGTACTTTACGGAACACACACACACACACACATACACTCTCTCTGTCTCAACGTGATCTTTGTGGTCGACTTTTTCTTATTTAATTTGTTTGAAATTTAACCACAAGCATTTGTAATTAAATCCGAGACAATTAATATGTTGTTTAAATTGTTTGAAAAAGAAAAAAAAAGGAATAGAAAATGCAAGAGAAATAATCAAGAAGTCTCTTAATTGATAAAAAACATTTGTAGAAATAGTTTTTATGTTAATTAGAATTGGGATAGTTTAATCGTTCAAAGAAATATAAAATTAATCATTATATTTTAATTTGTTCTCGCGAAAATGTGATTAACCAAAATCAAAGCATATTAAAAAGGGTAGTAGTACTAATAGTAGTATTATTATCGTAAAAATGTGTTATTAGCGTTCGTGTATGATATTATATCGGGAACGATGTTGAATAAGAGGAGGAAACAAATAACGAACGTATTACAGAATTCGTTATTAATCATTTTATTTTTGTCTGGGGTTGTATTACTTCAATGTTTTTTTTTTTAAATATATTCACCAAAGCGCGTGCCGCTAGGAGAATATGAAAAGAGAATGTAAAAAAAACAAAACAAAAAAGAAAAGAAAAGAAAATATAAAACAGAATAATGATGAAAGAGAGAGAGAGAGAGAGAGACAACAGGGGATGGGGGGGTTGGCTGGTTACCTTAGCAGGTAGCCTGCAAATTAATAAGATCACGGGTGCCATTTATGACGTTTATTACATTCCGTTAAGACGTCTATTATTACGATACGTAAATAAAGGGTAAAGGATAGGCGGATTGAAGTGAGATAGAAAAAGAGAATGAGGGAGAGAAGAAGAATTGTTGAACGGGGGACGTGTCCTCCCCCAAGAGTAGAAGCGACGAAGCGGAATGCGGCGAAAATAATGAAATAAAAGACAATGAAGTGGCAGGTACAATAGCCAATACTAGGTTGGGGGGATGAACGAGGCCTTACGCGGCGGAGGCCTTCGACCAGGGTGCCAATGACGAACGGTTGCCAACCAGTGTGGGTGGTTGGTTGCTTTTATGTGTATGTACGTGTTGAGGGTTGGGATAGATGAAGTATAGAGGAACAGTAGGAGGAGGAGGAGGAGGAGGAGGAGGAGGAAGAGGGTTGCGCGCGCGCGAACACGCACCCTCTACCAAAGAGATCAAGAGAGAGGGATGAGAGGGTGGTGGTGTGAGAAGGAGGGGAAGCTGGACATTGAGAAGGGAAGGTACGGGTGTGGGAGGGGGTTGAGGCGGGGTAGTTGGGTCGAGCGGACTAAATGCAGTGGGCGTGTTCCCATTACTTTCATTATTTTCCGTCGGAGGGGTTCGGGTACCGATATGCGTGGCTCTAGATACGTGTAATGCATTCACCTACGAGTTTAACCTACCCCCCCTTCCCCCTTCCCACCCCCTTTTGTGACTCGTATAGGTGACGACTACTATATCTTCTCTCTTACGCACACACACACATACATACACTCTGTTCAGCATCCCTCTCTTTTACTGTTCTCTCTCACTTTCACCCCTTCGTGTCGCTTTTCGACGTCACCTCTAGCCCCCCCCCACCTCCATTCATCCTCTACCTCACCTCATCTCATCCTCATCTTCATCCTCATACTCCTGTTCCTCTTCTCTGTATAGTCCGTAGATAAAACGTCGAGTAGCGGCGCGTACATCACACGAGAAGATCGAAAAGGGGGGCCCCGAATATTAAACGTACGGACACAACCAAAGACGACGACGACGACGAGCGTCGAACGTTGAACAGCACCATAATTATATCAAACGAAATTACTCTCTCACGCATTCTCTATCTATCTATCTATATATTTTTATCTTTATCATGTTCCTATCTTCATCGTCATCACTCTTTTTCCCCATATAAGAACACAAATATCGGGGGTGTAAGTATAATATACGCGCGCGGGGGTGTGTATGTGTGTGTGTCTGTGTGTTCATGTGCTTCTTTGTTGCTTCTCGCTTTGTTAAATGGCGCGTAAGCTGAGTAACGAACCATATGGTACCAACCGGTGTATCGCTTTAAGGGATCACTTACGTTTGATCCTTGATTTTAGAGATCACTCGATAGATTATTACAGTCTTTATGTTTCTTTTTGATGTTATACTTTCTTTTCTTTCGGCGCGTTTTGGAAACGTAAATTTAGTTAAATGCGACCGAAAAATCGACACCACGAAGTTGTCGATATTTAAAATGCGCGGGAAAATTGAAATTATTTTTGAGGTTATATTCGTTTTGGTATACGTTAAAGAAGTATAACTTCTTACTTGCATACATAAGTACACATATCAGTTTTTTTTTCAATATCTATTATTTACTGTCGAGAGGTTGTTCTTATCGTCTTTGAACGATTTAGGTTAACACAGTTTTTTTTCGGTTTCCTATATGATTTTTTCTGATAAACGCAATTATAAACGTAATTATTTTGTTTTATAATTTAATACACAACCACTTTTCATATTCAAACGGATAGATTAAAATAATCGATCGTTTATGATAGAAAATATAATTCTTTCCAATTTGAAAAAACGGACAATGCGAATTTTTTCATTCGATTCTGATTCGCGAATAATAAAACACGCGAGCGACAGGGTTAATTCGAGAGTGAGATACGAGTGTGATGTAAATGGAAGTTGGGAA